TGGCAATATTTCTTTCATATTGAAGCGTGTTAGTAGAATTCACTTGAGATTTTTTATGTATTCGTTAACTTCGTCTTTGTTGTTTGTAATATTTACACACTTGGTGATCGAAACACGTGTCGAAGTGTTAAATAGCGGTTTGGTGCTGGAATAAAAATCCAGTAATATTTAAAAAAATGAAAATTAAAAATTAAGAGATTCCAAGCAAAGTTACTCCACGACGGAGTCAAATGCGGTTTACTATTGAGTGTAGATCAATATGTTTACAACAAATGAGACTTTTTTTTCAAATGCATAAACAAAATGGCTTCATGTCAAGCAGCATACAAGACAGGTTTAATTGTTATATTTTATTTCATTTGTATTGATCCTTTCAGGGACTTCAAATCATTTTATATAATATTAGACGATGGAAGTCCGAACTACTGAAATTCATCATGAAACATTGTCAAACACCTCCAAAAAAATTGTTTTCACGCATCATTTTGCAACCACCTGAATCAAAATCAATTCTGTCTGTTCCGGTAAGATTAATTCTGGACGAGTCATTTGTAAAGACACAAGTTTAATGAATGGGTTACAAAAATTGTTTGTAATCGAAATGCAAATTGCATTCTTCATTTCAGAATACTTTGATATGCATATCATATCATTTCTTGAAACATGTTTATGAAATTTTTATTTCTTAATATAATAATATCAACAATAATAATATCAACAAATGATATTTTAAATAAAAATTTCATATCATATGAAAGCTACTCAAATTTTAGCCAAGAAAATAATGAAAATTTAATTTGGAAGTCATGACTTTGAATTTGAGTACAACTTTCGAAATAAAATTGTGCTGTATTTTTCTCAATAGAGCTATTTTGATTCTTTTATCTTGTAAGCTGTTTGACTTGCCATAATTATTATGCAATGACCTAATAAAAAATCCCATTTGGTGCAAACTTAATGGGCCACCATGTAGCCGCGGTATTAGCCTAGAGAGCTGGCATTTTCTGTAGAATACTTGCTAAATTTTCATTTCAGAAATTACTAGGGAAATGTATATTTCGAAATTAGTTTTTTTAAATTATTGCAATTTGCTAGAATTTTACTTCATAATTCATTATTAAGTTAATTGAATAGAAATGGCCGTTACTTAATGAAAATCCATATTGAAACTAATTAATACAGTTTATTATATTATTTTCACTATATTTATAGTAAAAATCATACAATAAGCTGTATGGATGAGTTTTATTATTAGTTTATTTCAAATTTGTGTCCGTTTTATTATCATATTTTTTGTAGCTCCATATCTTCACTATGAATTCAAATTGAACCCGAAAGCCGGAAGCCCGAAAAATCAACCATGCATTTGGCAGTGAGAGTGTTAATGAACGTACTCAGTATTTTCTAATATACAAAATATTAAGAATGACCCAGCTGAAAAAACAAGCTGAATATTATTGGAATTTCTATTGCTACATTTTGGATCTCTTCGAACCTTAAATTGTGTCAGGATTTGTTACCTGACGTGATCTTTCTATACCTCTGGGACCGTAGATGATACAGAGACATGTAGTTTTTTGTGTATAAACGTATTGTTAGTTACAAACCTCACGTACGAAGTGTTTCCCATTGAAAAGGTGAACCTAGACGATTACAAACAATACCAGCGAAAGAATTTTTATTTTGTAGCTACGAGCAATCCTTAAAAAGATAAATTATCAACCTCAGCATTAGTATAATTTCAGGATTGACTCTTTGGAGCTTTATTGAAACATTGCACACAGAAGCAGTTTACCGAATTGTCTTACCTGCTACCATAATATTGGGTCTTGTTGATTAAAGTTTGATATAATATTATGGGATACTTGAGTTCGTAAAGTACGTTCGGTGCTTCTCTTTGATATTTAGATTGTTAAGCGATAAATTAATGGTACCTGCTCATTATATTGTATAGTTATAGCTATAGTCTGTAAACATTTCGTTAGGCACAAGGCTCCGTCGCATTTGCTCGAATAGAAGATATCGTGAATAGTTCATTGAATTTAACTAATTTTGCCTGTTTTCAAATACGTAATAGTGAGTATAGGATCAAATAAACAGAGACAATTTCACATACGTCATTATTCAAACATATACTTACCTATTATTAGAAATCTTGCTAGAAGAAATCTGTTTGTATCATCACTGGATTCACTTTATAGATGTTCCCAACTTTTTTCTCATTCATTTTGTTGAAAAAAATTTCAAAAGTATTGAGAAATAGAGATTTTGGCTTTCTGCTTGTCCATCTTTGTAAAAAAAATGTGGGAATCTTTCAAAGAAAGATGTGTTTATCAGGGAAAGAAGTAACTTTCAGACATAAACTGAAAGAAAGTCCTCCTGAAACAGCTACTTTCATATAAACATTGAATTACAAGAAAAAAATTTACTTTCGAAACAAATACTTTTATATGAACACTGAATTATACAAAAAACACGTTTTTCTATTTAGTTTCCGAACATTGGTTATAGAATTGAATCAGATATCATCTTTGTATATAGAGTTCATTTTTTAAATTGATTGCTTCCTTTCTTTCTTTGGAAGATTTCCACATTTTTTGTATGAAGATGGAGAAGTAGAAAAATTGAACTCTCCTAAAACTATACATCTTCAGATTTTTCACAAATATGTTTTAATTTTTTTTTGCTGTCCAACTCTGGAATTAATCGAATAGATTGGTATCCTATGATTAACAGGCACAGGCACCGCTCTAAGAGCGCCTTAAGGATTTTCCTGTAGTTCTTGTATTTTATCATTAAAAAACATTGAAAAATAATAAACGTAAAACTGGAACCTCTGGTATATTAAGAATCTGAGAAACAAGCATTTTTCTCAATCACCAGAAATACAACGCACGTTTCACTAATCAAGTTGTAATCTTCAGTAGAAACACGGGTCAGACGAGTATTGTATTTCTGGTGATTGGGAAAAGTGCTTATTTTTGGCTGGGAAAGTAGTCAATATTTGTCGCACTATTTCAACAGTATTTCTCTCTAAACAATAGTCACTTTATACCTAAAAATTGTTCCCTATGTAATCGAAGATTTGAAATAAATAATCTCGAAAACCCCTACATCATTTATTTGAAACTACTGTAATCGGTTATTTTGATTCTATACATTCAACTGAGTGATCAATTTCTTTATTGTTGAATAAATTCGGCGTCATTGCTGCTTTAGCAAATTCTGGGTGTTCTGTGATTCTGCATTATTTTTTCATTGTGTTCACAACTTAATTTAATGTAAATTGTCATATGTAATGTTATTTATTACACATCAATTTAAATATATGGTTGTGTATTATCATTTTTTCCTGTGAACTAGTATAACCACTTTAAATAGTCTAAAATTGTACTGAATCAGTTGTTTATGAGGTAATTACAAGTTTTATATTTGTTCAAGATTTGTATTGTACCTACAATTTATTCAAACAATGTCTTTTTCGCGGAATGAATAACATGTTAATAACATGTTAATTTCCAACGACCGTGAATCGCTCGTTTTTCCGAATATCAATTTTTCCTCATAAGGAATCCCAAATCCTTTTTATGATTTAGTTTTTCATGAGAAGCTAATTAAATTTACGATTTTCGGCAAAACATTTCCTATAATCGATGGATGATTATATTTGACATACATTAATCAAATTGGTAAGCAATGTTTCAAAAATCTCAAACACAGATATTAACTGAAAAATGGATTCGGTATTGAAATTAACTTTCATTTCCATACATATACACAGTGTACAAATACACAATATTCAGATATTGTTTTTCTCACTTTTTCTTCAAATATTTCGATAACCAAAATATTTCGTACCTGCCAACACACTTCAAATGTGTGTCGAGAAGCTGTGATTTTTTTAACTTCAATTGTATAAGATACCAAAAATAATTTCTTGTGAAAATGGAAAAAATACTCTCATACAGCATTTTTTTAAATAAAAATAAAATAATATAGGTTCACGATATTTACCGAAATAAACAGATTTTTTTGTGAATAATCTCCTGAGTTTGAATGTCGTTTGCAATATTTTCGGGAAAAGATTGAGCTTCGGACATTCATTAAATAAAAACGTGTAGAAAATATCAAATGTATGGGAACATTAATTAAAAATAAAATATTACGATGAGCAAGTTGAAAAAATGAAATAATATCAAAATTCGGAGAACAACATACTTTTTTTAATATTAGTTGTCTTTTTCAACTGATTCATCTGGATATTTAGGTTCTTATGGTTTCAATATTCCATTCACTTTCTTCTTTTCATAGATTTCAAATTTGTGATCACAATTCATGTAATAGAAGTGCAAATCACTCAAACTTCCTGATATGTATTAAAAATTTCCAATAAATGTCACAATAATCATTTTTGTGATTCTTTATTCTCAACAAATAAAAAATTTTATAAAAAGTAATAAAACTATCTATCATTTCATACAATATGCTTACATCTCGACTCGGTGAGTCTTAAATAATTTACCCTCTAGATTGTTGCACTAAAATCGAGTCTAATAATGAGACCTCACGTTAGGAATTCATAATACATAACCACATATAATTACTCTAATTCATCTATCACAAATAAACCTTGAAATGACGAAATATTATTTCGCACTGACCCGAAAAACACTTGAAAATTGCCATTTTAATTTGATAAACAGTTCTAAATAGCACTTTCGTGCTTGTCGAATCTGTTGGCATGCATCAATACGGTGGTTAACTTTGATCAGGTGCGTTCCAAAAATCAAACCAACAAGTATGTTTGTCAGGTGCGTTCCTAACCGACAGGTATGTTTGTCTAATAAATATACTTAGTGAACTCATCACAGAACAGATGGTTTCCCTCGGAAATTATACGCCCTGAAGAAGTTAACACCCGCATTCAATGACTCGATTAGCGTGAAATACTGTTGAAATGTAAAGCTCGAAGGAAAGGTTGTCAAATGAAATTGCCGAAGTTTTTTAAAAACGAAATAGTTTTAATGTCACACCGTACAACGATATAGGTAATTGATAAAATAATAAATATACAAATGAAATAAATCCTCGATGAAATTTTCAATAGTTACAGTACGGATCCAAGAAAAATTTTAAAGTTCAACTTGACGACGTTTGAACAGAAATAATAATGATATAATTATTATAACAACATAAGAACAACTTTCATATATACGACATTCTGTACATTAAAAACTTACAGTTAATTTGTATATCGACAACCGTTCCGGTATAGGTATTTAAGTATAAATCACGATTTTTCTACTATTGGACCGGTACTTGAAATCTTTATATACAACGTTGCATATTTATCCTAAAATAATATATTACAGTGCCCCTTCTTCCAGGCATCTTTATCACTCTTCTTATTTACAAATAATATACAGATAAAACGTACGCGGTCCTCTAGTCTAAAGGTACTCACTCGCACTTCACAGGGCGTATGATTTATTGTTCTTACTCCACCGAGGACCTCCACAACGACATACGGGGGGAAACACAGTATAACCCATCCTGGCTTTGAGGTAGCGTGAAAAGGAGTTTCAAGAGCCGACGGAAATCGATCGCGCGTGTCTTAGGATATATCACTAGCCGTTGTCACTGTTGTGCAGCAAGGAGGCCCAGTGGGCTGGATGCTAGTGGGCCGTCAACTGGTGGCCCATGCTTTGGGGGGACAACATCGGCGGGCTGTGGGAGTGCGAATGCTGTCCCATGGGCGACCCGTGCATGTCCGGGTGGTGGCCGTAGCCGGGGTGTATGTGGCTTCCTGGAGGCATACCTTCCATCATGTCGCCTCCCAAGGTGTTAGGAGGCGTCATCCGCTTTTCTTTTTGCCTCCTGTTGCAGAACCACACTCGCACGACTTCCTTCTCTAATTGCAAACTGTCCGCGAGGGAGGTTATTTCTTGAGCAGAGGGTTTCGGTTGCTTGTGAAAATGCTGTTCTAGCGCACCCTTCACGGATACTTCTATGCTCGTGCGTTTTTTTCTCTTTCTGCCCTGCGCCGCGATCTTGTCTATGGACGTCGGCGAGCCCGTTGTCGAGTCCGCTTCCTCGAGCCACTTTTGCAAAAGAGGTTTCAACTTGCACATGTTTTTGAAGCTCAGCTGCAGCGCTTCGAACCTACATATTGTGGTCTGTGAGAAAACGTTGCCATACAATGTCCCCAGTGCTAGACCGACATCAGCCTGCGTGAAGCCAAGCTTGATTCGTCGTTGTTTGAATTGTTTGGCAAAGGCCTCTAGATCGTCGCTCGTGGGCGTTTCGTCTTCGCCTCCGCTCACGTCTCTCTCCGAATGCTGGGGATGATGCGGACTCTGCATGTCCCGGTGCAACGAGTGGTGCAATTGGGGCGGCTGGTGGTGAGCGAGCATCCCGTTCATCGCCGCGTGGTATTGCTGAAGAGGAGACGCGGTACCTCCGGGGTTGTAGTGGGCCGAAGACACGTGTCCGTGCCAACCGTGTGGTGAGCCCATACTCTGTTGCTGTTGTCTCTGGTGGTGCATCATCTCGCTCTGTTGCGTCAACGGTTTCACGTCTTGGTGCGGGTGGTGATGATGCGCGTGATGCATACCCGCCATGGAAGCTGCCCAGGGATCTCCGTGTGGTATACCCACCCAAGGGTTTGCCGATAGTGAAACAGCTGCTGCATGTCCGCTGGGAGAGGGCGAACTCGCTATATGGTGATGATGGTTGTGTTGAGGCAAATACTTCATCTCGCTCGCGTCGGCAGCCGACCTCGGAGAGGCATTCGAATGATATCCTCCTACAATATTCATTCCAACAACGTTACCGTCCAGATCTGTCGTTACCGCACTACTCGCTTGCAAGTATGTCGTGGCCGCCATGCCCTGTAAGGGCCGCTCGTCCACACTGTCCTCGTGTTGGAACACTTTGTGCACTAGTTTTTACACTAAAAATCAATTTTTATCACTGTTTATAGAATGCACTTTCGGCGACGTTATTGAACAATTGTCTTTACTACAGTCCGTCGCGCAATAACGTGTTTGGAGGTAAATTGTTGGTGACAAATCAAAATATGCGTTATGCATATCAGGCTACACGCACGACGACTCTGTTTGTATTACTGACGGAGTGTGTGGATTCACAGACTGGGGATCTCGACTTCCAGTTTCTCCCACTACCGATACCCCTCTGATTTGTTGAAGAGTGCGTGCGCAAGCGACACTCCTTGGACGTAATCGAAATGTGACGTCACGAGTTTGAGTCGACCTATTGGTGAGGAGAACTCGTGATACCGCCCATGTTCGTGCCCCTCTCTTGAGGGGAAGTGTTTACACTTCAAAGGATATGGTAGCTAAGCAACGGAGTATACAGAACTCACGTACGTACGTCTGTGAACTTAGCATCTGACCGAATTTTAGGGACTTCACGAATTCGTATTTCCAAATGTACTCATTCATTTCGCGTTTCAAAATAATGAGAGGTCAATCGCCGATTGATGAACTTTCTGATTCTCATTTATATAAACTGCACATGTGTGCAAGGAGCAATTTACTTTATTTTATTTATATAGTGTATGAAATCAAACTGGAGGATTATGGATGTAAAAAACGTTATTACAAAACAACCCTAGTGGAATCGTTCATTTTTCCAATCAATTGTTATATTATGACAATCACCAAACTCTTCCAATAACCCAACTCTTGTGAAAAGTACGTATGTGATTTTTGTAAAACTTTAGCTGAAATATGAAAAGTAGACCGTGGATGATTTATACTATAATTCCAAAATAGTAGGCACTAAATTCTCAGAAATGACTGACGTTTTCGTCTTAATCTGTCTCTTGCAGTGGCGTACGGAAATTATAGGTACCAAACAGATGAGAAAAAATAACGAAAAAATATATAGAATCACACTTGATATCAATGTTTTCGATTTAATGTAATAATTTTTCTGAGAATTTAGTGCCACTATTATGGAATTGTACTTTAGCAAGTTCTTTGACGTAACATTACATAGTTCTATGTGCCTAACAATTATGATAATGTAGAAAAATCGATATAAAAAAAATGAGCTCACCCAAAAAGTAGACCTGCATTTTATACTTTTCCAAATTTCATTTGAATGAACTTTATAGGTTATATACCTAGATTAATTCATTGTTCAAAATCGCTCATTCTCAAATTTGCCTGATTTACAACAATATAGATAATATTTGCGTAACAAGTTGTAAATTGTAAAATAATAAGTTCAACTTGATATGTTTATTTCAATTTTCTTTTTCTTCAACCCGGAAAAATTTGGTATCGCTTCAGTTGTAAAAAAAGAACATTCCAGTTTTTTCATCGGCACAGTTGGTAGGTTTACCAACATCTGAGTAAGTAGCTAGTAGATATTTGTATTGGATACAAATATATAAACACCACTCTTACAGAATAATTCCTACAGCAGGTAGGTATTATATCATTGAACTGACTTAATGGAATTAAAATCGATATCAAACTGTTTTGAATACTTATGCTATATCCGTTTGGTTTTAAATTGCAATGAATTTCACGTGAATTATTTATTATCATTCTCTAGTTGTTCAACATAACATATATCTGTCGATTGTAAAATAGTTCACAACATATTCTTCAACAAACCAAACATTTCTTTAGCAATTTTCTATTATTTTCCAAAAACTGTAACTTTGAAAAAATTGATAAAGGTAACTGTATGTTTATATGTCACTTGACGTTTGTGATCAATTATAGAAATTTGTCAATTTTTCTTTTTCTCAGTAGGTAGGTACACGACAACAGGTATGTATCTCTATTCGTAATATTTTTCATAATTTATCATGTGAATTATGGTTACCAAAACATTAAAATTCAAAACATTCAAAATATTTCAATTAATAATAATAATACTACTAATAAATCTTCATTTTTCAGTTGAAAAGCATAATTGTATGAATACATCCTAGCAATATCTAACTGACAAAAACGTCATAATCAGAATATGAACAAAAAAACAGTTCAAAAAAGAATTTCCAAAGTACCAACAGACATAATTATTATAAGTTCACAAATTGGCAGATTGGGGCGACGACAAACATGTTGTTTGTTATCCGCCTCAGCCTAGTTCGAGTAATGATACACTGAAAGAATTCGATTTTCAATTATCGGAAATCATCGACTTCATGTTGATGATAGACACTACCTTGCACTGACGAGTGGCCAAACAGCTGGAAACCGATCTGCAAGTGTGTTCCAATAATTGAAAATCGATTCCAGCAGTTGTATCGCCAAGAGAATATGCAGGAATAACTTCACTGCACTGATACCTGTCGGATATAATCCAACAACATCCTTCGTGGTATTAGCCAGGGGAGTAGTTGTTTTCTGATGAGTGTCAGTGGATTAACTTACAGTGTAGGTAATTTGAGACTGGCCTGAACGAATTGTTCTTACATAATTTGATAATTATAAGTTACAAATATGTTTAAACTGTATAAATAAAACTAAAATACATACAAATATAGAGTTATGAAAATTCTTATGAACGACCGAGACTAAATGAATGCAGATACACAAGAACACATTTGAAGAACGTTAAAAGTGTTATAAAACATGGAAAAAATATTATTTGATCAATAACAGCACAAATATAAAAATCTATCGTCAAACAAATCAAATAAACACCCTCTTGTAATAGAAGATAAATTCGTCAATATTGTAACAATTTTTCTCAATAAGTAATGCCTCCAGTCTGTATTTAAAAACATTAATATTTGGAGTTTTTGCATCGAGTCATCAAGATGGTTGAAAACTTTGCATCCCAAATATAAATGACCTTTTTGGTTGAGGTTAGTTCCATGCAAATTGGGTACAAGAAGATTTCTGGACCTAGTAGCATACAGAAGATCTGTTCTGTTGACATGTTTGTCTTCATGGGAAACAGTTTTTGACTTTCTACTTCTCCATCTTGATACAAAAAATATGGGAATCTTCCAAAGAAAGGAAGTAAGCAATCAAAAATCAACTGTAATATACAATGACGCGTATTAATCTCTCCTGAAAATGTACCCTTTCCATGTATTTGTCATTATGTTTGTATACATATATACAAAGTTCATAGAGATGCATGCCTGTCACAGTTGAAGTCTTTAGTCGCTTAAAGGCCTTTCTACATGACTGCCCTCATTCATGTCCTGCGACAATCCTCACACCAAATTTTTACAGAACGAACATACACGACCAAGAGATACGAACAGAAGTACCCGGCATGACTTAGAGATGGCGGTAGTTGTTTGAAAAACATCACTGTTTTAGAAAGTTCAATAATACGTTTCAAGTTTGAAGACGCTGCGTTGTTTTGTTTGGCAGCCATCAAAAGCGAACGTTTTCGGGAATTTGTGAAAATGAAGAAAAGTGGTCATCGTTATGTGGTACAATACTTTCATTTTTAAGGCCTCAGCCCAACCAATATAAAAGCTGAACTGGATTCTACTCTGGGTGAGTCTGCTCCTTTGTTTACACCAGTATGAGTTGCAGAGTTTAAACGAGGCCGTACTAGCTGCCAAGACGAGCATCGCAGTGGTCGACCAAATGAGGTGACGAATCCAGAAACCGTGAAGAACATCCATAAAGCGGTACTGAGTAATCGTCGAATGAAAGTGCGCGAGCTTGGAGACTTCGTAGGCATTTCAGAAAGTGCGGTACATCGTATATTACCTGAAAATTTGGACAAGAGAAAGCTGCGTGCAAGATGGGTGCCGCGTTTGCTCACACTCAAGCAAAACAGTGTCGTGAAGATGTTTCACAGCAACAAAGCGGAATTCTTGCGTCGTTTCATAACCATGGATGAAACATGGGTCCATCACTTTATACCCGAGACAAAAGAACAATTAAAACAGTAGACCCAACAGGGAGAACCGGCTCCAAAGAAGGCGAAGACCGTTTCATCTGTAGGCAAGGTCGTGGCATTGGTTCTTTGGGATGCTCGTGGGATAATTTTCGTTGACTATCTTAAAAAAAGTAAAACTATCAACTGCGCGGCGGTTATTATGCGAACTTATTGCAACTTTTGAGTGAAGAAATTAAGCAAAATCATCAAGACAATGCATCAGCTCCCAAATCCTTTATCGCAATGACCAAAATTAATGAATTAAAGTTTGAATTATTACCTCGTGCACCCTATGCGCCAGATTTAGTCTCCTCGGGTAATTTTCTGTTGAGACAGTTCTTATTGTAAAAACGGTATCGAACTCATTGATCGTCACTGGGAAAAGTGTAAAGAGATGCAATATATACCTGCCTAATTTTTTTTCCAGAATTTTTGTGTTTCATTTGTTGGGCCGGGTAGGTATTTCTGTGATCACCAATAATTGTAATTTAGTTCAGAGTTCTTCTTTTCTGTTGAAGAATTACTTTGAAACAAAATTGTGGTAATAATATTTCATGTTTCGAATTAAAGTTGCTTTTTCAACCTATTCGTGGTGAACTCCCTCCCTCACCACCGAAAAAAAATCAAAAGGAGTCTTTATGCATGGATCATGATACTTAGGAAAACAAAAATATTCCATTCATCAGCAACTTCAGGTTCCATGCGACCACGGCATACTATTCCCAAAAGGTTAACACCTGCTTTATGGTTCGATATCTATTCAAACTATCTAAAACTGAAGTCAGGTGTGCCACAGGGTTCAATATTGGGTCCACTATTGTTTACCATTTATTCATCAAACATGTTGCGTAGTCTAGAACACTGTAAATTTCACCTTTATGCTGATGACACTCAACTCTATCTCAGCTTTCTCCCTCAAAGTGTAGAAAACGCATGTACGCTTATTAACAATGATCTTGAGTCATTTGTTGAGTTGTCAAGAGATCACTGTCTACTACTAAATGCCACTATCGAATATCATCCTTTTCGGATCAAAAAAGAATCGCCAGAAAACAAGTGAATCTCTTACAATCACGATTGATAATGTTCCTTTACAACCCACAAATGAATGCAAAAATTTTGATGTTATAATCGACTCTGACTTGCGGTTTGAGAAACATGTAAACAAACAAATAGGTACAACTGGCATATTCTTCGTTGAAAATTATTTATAGGCACAGACACATACTCACGAAGCAGACGAAAACAACTTTCAA